TCCCTCCTCTCTCTGCTCTCTCTCTCTGTCTCTCTCTCTCTCTCTCTCTCTCTCTCCTCTCTCTCTCTCTCTCTCTCTCTCTCTCTTCTCTCTCTCTCTCTCTCTCTCTCTCTCTCTCTCTCTCTCTCCTCTCTCTCTCTCTCTCTCTCCTCTCTCTCCTCACAAATCTTCGCCCCCTCCCCCTCTCCCTCACCTTTCTTCCCCTTTAACACCCTCATCTTTTTTTCAGCATTCCTGACCTCGAACCCACAGCCTCCAGTCACGGCAAAATCCCTTACACACACAGCCCACACTTTTTTGCGTTCACTATTCTTCCTTTCGTTTTCTTTTTCGACTCTTCATTTCTTTCTTTCTCGAGTCTTCCTTTCTTTCCTTTTCTCTTATTCTTTTCTTTTTTTTTCTTCTTTTTTTTTCCTCCTCTACCACCGAATTCTCTTCTCGACAATAAAAGGAACCAGAGTTTTCTCCTTATGCCGTAAAACAACCCGGTTTTATGATAACGGCAGCATAACTCTTTCCGGGTTATTGCAGGTTGAGTTCATAGTCCGGGGAGGTCATGGCGGGTCGGCTGAAGGGGTCATAGGTCAGCGTTAAGGTCGCCATTTATTGCCATTACGAAAACCCCGAGAAGAACTTGCGCCCGCGAGGAGTGCCGTGTTAAAAAGGGAGGGAGGGGGAGGAGGGGAGGGGAGAGGGAGCGAAGGAGGGAAGGGAGGGACTAGAGGGATGGGAGGGAGATAAGGGGAGGGAGAGGGAGGGAGAGGGAGGGAAGGGGGAAGAAGGGGAGGAGAGGGAGAAAAGGGGAAGGAGGGAAAAAAGGTGGGAAGAAGGAGGGGAGGAGAGGGAGCGAAGGAGGGAAGGGAGAGATTAGAGGGATGGGAGGGAGAAAAGGGGAAGGAGATGGAGGGAAGAAGGAGAGAAGGGGAGGAGAAAGAGAAAAGGGGAAGGAGGGAAAAAAGGAGAGAAGAGGGAGAAAAAGGGAGGGGAGTGAGGGAGAAAAGAGGGAGAG